GCTCTTCTAAAACCAATTTGCCATTGTTTGTAATGATAATGAAGTTTATCTAGCTTATTTGCATCAGCAACAACTTCTTCAAAAAAAGTCATAAAACTTTGACGATGAAATTGGCTAAAATCACAAAGTACGTAAATTATGTAAAAATAACATTATAAATAAAATTAAAATTGTATTTATAATTTAATATTTTAATATTATAAAAAATTTTAATAAATACTAAGAAGCAAAATATAATTGTACTTATTTGTATTGTGTATTTATATATCTTATATTTATATTATGATAATAACATAATATTAAATATAATTTATAATTTTATTTAATTTATAATATAAACTATGAAGTCACCAGATGATAATTTAAAAAATGGTAGTAATTCAATCGACCAATTCTGGCAAATAATTAAATTTATTGTATTTTTACAACGTTTCGGCCGTGGGATTCGGCCCTTATCAAGTGCTATGTTCTTAAATCAGAGTAAATCACAATCTTTTTAAAAAACAAAAATTCGATCTTAAAATATGACATTATATAATAACCTGATAGTATAAAACGAAATAACTATTGTTATTATATATGTGATATAGTTATTTCGTTTTATACTATCAGGTTATTATATAATGTCATATTTTAAGATCGAATTTCTGTTTTTTAAAAAAGTTGTGATTTACTCTGATTTAAGAACATAGCACTTGATAAGGGCCGAACCCTACGGCCGAAACGTTGTAAAAATACAATAAATTTAATTATTTGCCAGAATTGGTCGATTGAATTACTACCATTTTTTATTTAATTTGTTAGGCATTTCTTTATACTATTACTAGTAATGCCAATTTATCACTTATTCGAGTACTTATCACTTATTTCGAGTACTTAATTACTTATTTCGAGTATTTAAATTACTGTATATCATATTTTAAATATTCGAAGTAAGTGATTAATTGGCGTTATTAGTGATAAATTTCTACAAGAGTTAATAATACAGATTATATTTGGAAAAAGTATTGACAGATGAGTTATAAAATGATTAATAAAAGAAATAACAAAACAAGAAATGATATACAAATATAATAAAAGAGATTGTTCTACGAAAGAAATAAAATAAAAATAAAGAAAGTAACAAAAAAAAGATATACGTGTCAGATATATTTAAAATAACATTAAAAAACAATGTAGCACAAAATTCAATTAAAAAAAAACAGATATTATAAGACTTATAGACGATATGAAGAAAAGGAATTAATAAAAAAATAAAAATTAATTAAAAAATGATTTTGGAAAATAATAAATTATGAAACAAAAAAAAAACAACGTTGAATATATGTATTATATGAAAAAGTAAAAAACAACATATTGTTTCAACAAAAGCGGTTTTCATAGTAAAAGTAACGAAAGTGAAGGTAAATCTAGTAGCAGATGTAGGAAAAAAGCGGAATTGTAAAAACTAAAAAAAAGCAATATGAAATAATGTCAGCAAAAGCGAAATAATAAGGGACAATATATAAAATTTGTATTATAATAAATTATTTAAGATTTAAATGATTTTATTTTCTTATATTATATACTCACGTGCTATTTGTATATGAGCGAACGCCTTTTTGAAATATTTCTTTGGTTACGGCGTGTTGCATCATGCGCAGTATACAGGGTGCTACAATTTACATCAAAATTATAAATTAGATATATTATAAATATATGTTTATTATAATGGTTACATGTAAAGTGGTTTTATATATTATAAGGCAAAATTATTTGTATATATATACAAGGTACAGTAATCGCATAACAGTGAAATGTCTTCTATTGCCGCACGGTTTATCATTTGATTTTAAAGTAAATTTTCGTTATAAAGATATAGCAAAACATTAAAAGACCATTTGATTAATATCTTCTACACACATATGTGTAATTATACCGAACACTTCGTGTGTGTTATATATATTTTATATTATTATTTATATAATATATATAATATATATATTATATATATATATATATATATATATATATTATATATACCAAATAATATATATATATATAATGTATATAGTATATTAAAACCCCTTAAATATTAATTAAAAAATATACATCAAATATGCACGTGTGTGTGTGCTTTTATAATTTATTTTTTTAATAGAATTCAGAAAAGAATTAATTATTTTATAATTTCACCAAATTTTATAATATTAATAATTCAAAATTTACGCGAATTTATTTTATTAATTTACGTTATATACCTATGATGGATTCGGAATTTTCAATAATGTGTCATTTTGTGAAGTAGACATCCCACATACGATAGCATCAAAATAAAAAAAAGTATGTTGATTTTGAACAACAAATAAATGTGTATTATTCGATTATCTCGATACATCTAAAGAAAAAATTTAATTTAATATATCAATATAACCGCTCTGAAAATACATGCATTAGAAGGAAATACTAATATCATTAGCGGTTCTTTTATGTTAAAAGGGACACCTTTTTACTTTAAAAACACATATGAGTAAATATAAAAATAAAATTATAAATTTTGTATTATTATAATTAACAAATATTACATACTTTTAAAATTATTATCTCATGATATATTATATCGCAGAGTTCTCTTTATCAAAATAAGCAAAAAATATCGGATATAATAGTTTCTGATTAATTTAAGTTATTTTAGATTTTATAAAAATCTGTATGTATAATTACCGTCCGTCTCTCTGTCTGTCTGACCGTAAACTGCTTCCACATTTGTGGACTGATTTTCATCAAATTGGTACCAAAATTTCGCAAATTTTCCGGGAAGTGTGACTATGGTAATTATTTGTAAGTTTTACGTCTCCACCCACGGCAATCGCATATTTATGGACCAATTTTTTTAAATTGATATCAAAATGTTGCAAAATTTTCTGAGAAAACTACTGTGTGGTTTTTTTTAAGTTTTATTCTCTTTACGCATCTACACACGCAATCACATATTTATTCACCGATTTTCTCGAAATTGGTACAAAATTTCACATTCTTTCGGAAATGGCTACTATGTGTTTTATTTAGTTTTACACTACTACATACGCATCCGCCCACGCATACATACATTTATTGATTAATTTTCTCGAAATTAGATATCTATTTATATTTATATATACAAGTTGCAAATTTTTGGGGATGCGTGGTGGAGATGTAAAACTTACAAATGATTACCATAGTCACACTTCCGGAAAATTTGCGAAATTTTGGTACCAATTTGATGAAAAAATCAGTCCACAAATGTGGAAGCAGTTTACGGTCAGACAGACAGAGAGACGGACGGTAATTATACATACAGATTTTTATAAAATCTAAAATAACTTAAATCAATCAGAAACTATTATATCCGATTTGTGATGAGATGGTGTTTTTTTAATTTAAAATTTTTTTTAACATAGAGAAGGGTATGTTTCCGCAAAAAAATGTTTTGCAGATTTTTATGCCAATGTGTTCGAAATGTTTCAAAATATCGAGAAATCACATTTAAAAAAAATTTGTATGTAAAACTTTCACCCACGCACTCACACATATATTGATTTATTTTCGGTACCAAAATCATGAAAATTTTGGGGATGACGACGACAGACAGACGGACAAATGGACAGACAAATAGATAGATATTAAATAAAGTATAACTAAATATTATATATCTTTGGTTTTGTAAAATAAAAAATTGTGTGAAAACTAGTAAGGGCGGAATCAGTGTTGGGTGAAGGCTTTGAGGCCCGCGTGAAGAGCGAACCGAAAAGCTAGTATAATAATATGAGATAAAGTGATGTTAAAATATAAAGAAAGTTTTCATATCTTACATTATATTTATATGAATATAAATATTTGAAAAAGTATTTAAAAAACAGTATAATATTGTATACGTATGTATATATTGTTAATATTGTATACATATGTATATATTGTTAAAAAGAATTTATACGATTTGTAAAAATAATTTCATATACAAAAATCTTGCTATATAAATGCTTAAGTATGTTATTGTTTCCGAGAAAATGGGAGGTGATAGCATTAAAATTATTTAGAATAACCTTATTGACAGTATTCATTGCAAGCAATGTAGTAAGAGCTTTGTTGAACAAGAAGCCGATCGAAACGGATTGTTCAAATTATAAAAACATTGCTGTGTCACTTTATGTCCTACTAATTGAGCTACTTCGATTTTGTGAGCAACAGGATACAAATTTTTATCGTAAACGATATCCATTTCGCGCTGAAAGTAATATTTAAATGTTCGACTGAGAACTTTTGTACATAATAAAATTTCAATTAGCAAATTGGTATTGTAATACGTAACAAATATTTTTTGTTATTTTTAATTTAAGTATAAAGCAATGATTTTGTGTTAATGCGTAAATCATTGATGAAAAACTTTAGTTTTAATAAATAAAAAAATGTTATTTCTTTATAGCTTTATTACAATTTAAATTTACCTTAGGAGATACGATATAACATAAAAATTTTTACCTTTATGTATGTAATATTAGAACAATAAAGTGCAACATTTTGAATTATAATACGAATAAACTTAATTTTCACTACTTAAAATTGTTGTTTTCACAATATCTTATACTTTTGCACGTTTACAGAAACAAAATATATACCTACATGTTTTTCAGTTTTATAATTTTGCATATAATATATAATTTTACTTTTAATGTAATTTTAAGCACTTGTACTTACTTATACAAAACAAGTCCAAAAACTATTATGCCATTATCAGGGAAATTTGGAATTGCAACATGAGTCACTTTCGAAATATTGTTCGAACGTTGTTTCCATGTATCTTTGAACAACATCGTGATTTCTTCAGCTACATTCTTTGCAAATTCCATGTGAAATAAAGATTCGTATCTGCACCACATTTCAATGTTTTGAGTATAATTATCAACACGTAATAAGTAATTGGATACAATTATTGTTGCAAGATACGGCGACATTGCAGGTGTGGTATCGAAGCGTTTAATAATATATTGTGCTTGTTTTTTTCTGTATTTTGCAATGGCATATTTGACAAAGCCGTGCATTGATTACATCCTATAGATATGTTAAAAGTTGCTTCTAACAATAAATTTTGTTGACTCCAACATGAAGACAATTGTCGAGCGCCTATTATATGGAAATGAGTAGCAGCTACCAAACTATACATTTAAAAAACATATATGAATGAAACATTTTTAACAAGCATCAAAATGTTGGAATTTAAAAATGTTTAAATGTAATATGTAATAATATGCATTATAAGTATAAATTAGTAGTCTTTATATTTAAATTGCATGATATATAATAATTTTTGAAACATTTAATACAAAAATAATATATATTAATTACGAGATTTTATGTAATTGCACATTGCACATTGATTTTAATAAACATATATTATTTGCTTACGCAATTTTTTTTTCACATCGAAAATTCTAAAGACTTCATCAGTAAAACCAAAATATGTAATATATAAAGTGTAATTTCCTGGTAATAACTTATCCTTAAAATAAAGGTCAATTATGTCTTCTTGAATATCATATGTCGGTTTATAAACTGTATACTTAATATTCTCATGATGTTTTTCTAGATTTTTAATTAAAATTATATTTTCAAAATATAATTTTTCTGAATGTATGTTGTTGATTAATATATGTTGCGTTTTGTTAAGAATGTTGATGCTGATATTGTATTCTCCATAGAAAATGTTTTCTTCTATACATGATATAAACATGATATCGTAATGATTTGGTTTTATATATTTTGATGGTTGATAGCATAAAGACGATTGATTAGGAGTAGAAGCCGTCCCAACGATATACATTATTCCGCTAATTAATAGTAGAAATATCATCGTGTCGAAAAATTTATTTTAAGTCTGTAAAACACACTGTAAGCAAAGGACAAATAGAGAAATTAAATATAGTATTGATGTCTTTTATAAATTACTAGACGACACAATAGCGCGCTTGGCGCACGCTTTTGATATTATTATTCATTTTACAATTGTCAAATTGTTAATTTTTGCGATGACAGTTGCTTGATGCTATAAAAATAATGATAATTTTAATTAGCCGAATTTCTATTTTGATATCTATTTTGTATATATACTGATAGTAGAATACTAATACGTTTGAGAAATACAACTTAATAATAAGTAAAAATTAACTTTTGATCATTTTTAATTTTAATATATTTGACAGGATAATTAATTTTTACGACCATTACTGACTAATGAATATTTAATAATCACCACCCAACGTTTCGACCATGGGTTTTGGTCCTTCTCAAGTGTACTTAAAATTAAAAACTGTGAACATATTATTCGAATGAAACTTCTTGTCGAACCGTGATAAAATAATAGCCAAGGACTATACAACCTTAAATATATTGACATCACAAGTAAGTATTAAAATACACACAGATATTTTTATAAATAATAAAAAATACGAGAAATTTTAAAATAGAATTTTAATAATCTAGTAATAAAAGAACATTTAAAAGTATTTATTATAATATTCATTATCTGTTAATTACAGTATTTTTAGTTTCAAAAATTATTTATTCGACAACAAACTATTGTGAGTTCAAGATTATTTTAACTGTGGCGATAAAATTCATTTTATATTTCAATTTTATTTGATATATTAAATCGAATTGAGAACGAAAGTCAGCGATCGAATATATGTATATATATGACAACGAGCGAAAGAATCATAATAAACAAGTAAAGACAAAGTATCAAAACAAGCAAAATATAACAACGGACAGCCTAACCGATATAGGCAAAAGAATTGATAACATGTCACTCATTGTCAGCGAACTCGCTGAAGAAAGGACAAATAGAATTATTTTAAATTATATATATCTCTGGATTGAAATTTACAAATAATTTTGAATAAAACTATTCTCTTTATTCCTATACATATGTTGGAAATTCTATAAAATTCCGTCCTACCAAATGATTAAATTTTCTTGCATTTATAGACACATGTTTTATATGTATAAAAGTTCTTCTGACTTACCGAATATTTCGAAACAGAATGTTAATTGGAAAACTATATTGATTAAAACTATATATTGTTTTAAAAATAAACTGCAGCAAATTAATGCTTTAGAAGTATGCAATGTTGGAAGAATATATATATTCACACACTTTATTAAAAGTATATTATATCTACGGCGACGTGGTTCGAAAGACCACGAAAGACTGACTGATTCTCTGGACGTGTCTTCATGCTAATATGATGTGTTAAATCAAAACTTCTGAGGTCGTTATATATATATATATATATATATATATATATATATATTGGGTGTATGGCGGCATTTGTGTGTAACGGTTGATTTAATTTAGCACATTTAACTTTTGTCCACTTAATCAAATAATTAGGCATTGTTTATACACATTTATATGACTTATTTCAACAAACATTTTTGCTAAAAATATTGTGTAATTTCTCGTCATATACTCATCCTTCGATAATTTTATTTTAATAATTCAATTAGTATAAATATGTCATTATTTAATATAAATGTATGCAGTTGCACATTGCTATAAATTGCAATTTTTTTAAATCACTGGAATGTTTTTTTTATACCAATCAATTTATCCACATTGTTTTGTGCAAAAAATTATTTTGATAAATAATATTGGAAGATAAATACATTATATGATGTTTCATATTTATGTCAGAAAAGAACATAAAACGTTTAAAAAATAAAGATAATTATCAAATCTCAACAATGTTCCATCTGAAATAAGACCATATATTTACGACGCGACGCGCTTTTTCTAAATTTTTTAAATAATGTATAAAGTATATTTTTCGGAAGAGAAATTTTGGTTATGAAATTACAACAATACCTAATTTAAAATGGGACACTTTATATTGTTTTGTTAGAAACATACATTTAATTATACATGTCCTTATGTACAATACTGTGTCTTTATACTGTACCTACTCCTGTATGTATAAGTATATATTATAATATAGTAAATATTATAATCGCGCGCGCGATTCCTTATTAATCGCGATATGTGCTATGTTTTTCTCTTTTTATATCAATTTTTTCTAATTTTAAAATTTTAATACTTTGATTGTTTGTTACATCGTACTCTATGCGCCAAACTATAAAGATTTATAACTGATAAAATTACTATTTTTATATAACATTTTTGTAAAAAGTTAATACAAAATGTTTTTCAAAATTTGTTTTACTTATAAGAGTTTTAACAAGGCTCTGTAATATAAATATAAATTTAACGTATAAGACGGGCAACAAGAGCCAAATCGCGGATGACAATGCGTTATCCTAACGAAACTAAATAATTTTCGTTAGAATTAAATACCGGTGCACAAGGCACCAAATTTTTACTTGGACACGGCCAAGATTTTAAATATGAAATACTCATATTTTGAGATTTAATTTCAATACCCCTTTAACCCCCCTACGGAAAATAAATAAATGAATGCAAGAGAAAAATATAGATCCGAAAATCGCTGAATCGGGAATCGAACCCGAGACCTTTCGCTTGCCGGGCGACTGCTCTTCCAGCTGAGCTATTCAGATCCTTTCGATTCTATACTTTTCTCTGTTATATATATTAATGTTGGTAAACAAACGCATTTTTTAAGCCAGCGTGTATCAAATATAAGAGTTTTAACAAGGCTCTGTAATATAAATATAAATTTAACGTATAAGACGGGCAACAAGAGCCAAATCGCGGATGACAATGCGTTATCCTAACGAAACTAAATAATTTTTCGTTAGAATTAAATACCGGTGCACAAGGCACCAAATTTTTACTTGGACACGGCCAAGATTTTAAATATGAAATAATCTCATATTTTGAGATTTAATTTCAATACCCCTTTAACCCCCTACGGAAAATAAATAAATGAATGCAAGAGAAAAATATAGATCCGAAAATCGCTGAATCGGGAATCGAACCCGAGACCTTTCGCTTGCCGGGCGACTGCTCTTCCAGCTGAGCTATTCAGATCCTTTCGATTCTATACTTTTCTCTGTTATATTATTAATGTTGGTAAACAAACGCATTTTTTAGCCAGCGTGTATCAAATATAAGAGTTTTAACAAGGCTCTGTAATATAAATATAAATTTAACGTATAAGACGGGCAACAAGAGCCAAATCGCGGATGACAATGCGTTATCCTAACGAAACTAAATAATTTTTCGTTAGAATTAAATACCGGTGCACAAGGCACCAAATTTTTACTTGGACACGGCCAAGATTTTAAATATGAAATAATCTCATATTTTGAGATTTAATTTCAATACCCCTTTACCCCCCTACGGAAAATAAATAAATGAATGCAGAGAAAAATATAGATCCGAAAATCGCTGAATCGGGAATCGAACCCGAGACCTTTCGCTTGCCGGGCGACTGCTCTTCCAGCTGAGCTATTCAGATCCTTCGATTCTATACTTTTCTCTGTTTATATATATTAATGTTGGTAAACAAACGCATTTTTTAGCCAGCGTGTATCAAATATAAGAGTTTTAACAAGGCTCTGTAATATAAATATAAATTTAACGTATAAGACGGGCAACAAGAGCCAAATCGCGGATGACAATGCGTTATCCTAACGAAACTAAATAATTTTTGTTAGTTATAGGGTTAAGGGGTATTGAAATTAAATCTCACAATATGAGATTATTTCATATTTAAAATCTTGGCCGTGTCCAAGTAAAAATTTGGTGCCTTGTGCACCGGTATTTAATTCTAACGAAAATTATTATTTCGTTAGGATAACGCATTGTCATCCGCGATTTGGCTCTTGTTGCCCGTCTTATACGTTAAATTTATATTATATATTATGCTAGAGCCTTGTTAAAACTCTTATATTTGATACACGCTGGCTTAAAAAATGCGTTTGTTTACCAACATTAATATATAACAGAGAAAAGTATAGAATCGAAAGGATCTGAATAGCTCAGCTGGAAGAGCAGTCGCCCGGCAAGTGAAAGGTCTCGGGTTCGATTCCCGATTCAGCGATTTTCGGATCTATATTTTTCTCTTGCATTCATTATATATTTATTTCCGTAGGGGGGTTAAAGGGGTATTGAAATTAAATCTCAAAATATGAGATTATTTCATATTTAAAATCTTGGCCGTGTCCAAGTAAAAATTTGGTGCCTTGTGCACCGGTATTTAATTCTAACGAAAAAATTATTTAGTTTCGTTAGGATAACGCATTGTCATCCGCGATTTGGCTCTTGTTGCCCGTCTTATAACGTTAAATTTATATTTGTTTTACTTATTTTT